ATAAAATGGGATTTCAAGAGACTTGTTGAAGAAATTGACAAAAACAGCAGACTGCTATTAAAAGTTTTAGGTTTAGATACTACCAATAATGAAATACGCTAAAATAAAAAAGCATTGTATATAACAGTTACAGAAAATAATTTTGTTTAGCTTTTCTTTTCCTTTAATCAGAAAAATAATTCAGGATCAAAAGAGCAATATTAGCAAAACACGGAAAGGACTATGTTTTGAGAGTCAGAAAACAAGAACCGTAGAATCTAACTAGCTAGGCAAATTACTGCTCCCTTTGGGGACAGAGTTAAAACAGAAGGCTAGAGTGAATCATCTCCACAAATTTCCCATTTTACATTCTGAGAAGTTCCATTTCAAAGTCCTTTACTCTTGGAGAAGGGGGAATTTTGATGTGTCTAACAAAGAGACCTGCTCTACCCCCGTGCCAACTGCCACAAAGGGACAACGTTTCCAAGGGGCCTTCATGCAGAAGCAGGCACACATTTACAGGGCCCTAAACGGCAAGTGGATTCATAACCCAGCATTAGCGCAGGTGGAATGTATGCACTGGCAGATGCATAAAAGAACAAATCTGCTACTTCAATTACAAAAATTCCATATAACCATTACTTCTAAGTAGACAGCATTTAAATAATAGCAAAAAAGCATCATGTTATTTGCACATATAGTAACTTACTATTTCCCTGACAGATGGGGAAACAAGGGCATGAAAAGTCCCCTATCCCTCTTAAGCATCTTAATGAATCAATAAAAGGTCAAGCAAAAAATAATTAGGTGATGTTAGAAAAGCATTTAAGGACATGATGCTTAAGAGATGACAATAAATGTGAGACATGTCCCTACACTTACGACTTTTAATTATATATATATATGTTCAACTATAATTACTCAGTGTCTATAAAATGTTGTGCCATACCCAAACTGTATTATGTCATTTTATTACCCATTATTCACATAAGGGTTCCTTGGCTCACTTTTTAAAGTATTGTATCTCTGTATTATGGGACTTCAGTACCTTCAAAATGCTACTAGGAATCCAGAGCCCTAAAAGAGGGTGGCCGTCAAGCCAGGTTCCCCTCTTATTTCATTCCAGAGCCCTCTCATTCAGACTAGCACTTCATGAAACACTGGTTAGCAAAGTCTGTATTGCATTTGATGAGAAACCTGTGATTTAAACACAAGACTGAGAGAAGGTTGTCAGAGGTGACAATAGGTACCCTTACAATGAACAACTCTGCATTTGAAGACATGAATCTTCTCTAAAGAGTGGACAGGTCCCAAAGAGTGTTTTATAAAAGAAAAATTAAATAAAGATGTTCAAATTATGCCATAATGTAACATCGTGTCTTATTTTAATTTTGATTAGTATCACTATGTAGAGGTAACTAAAAAAAAAGAGTAGTGGCAAGAAAAAAATTGTTTTAAAAAAATTCAGTTTGTTAACTACAACAAGAAATCTTAAATAAAATGGTCTCTGAGTACCAGGTATAGAATGTTTTCCAGCTGAGATAATAACCATATTCTAAATGATAACAGAATATACATTGTAAGAATTTTTTACAAAAGAGATGGCTGCGATTTAATCTTTGGCAAAACATTCTTGGAACGACAAATGCAAAGAAACACATGAATAGTATAGGTTGTGTTCCTGAAGAAGCCATCCTAAAACAAGGAGAAACAAAAATGGGTTAAGCTGTCTTCTCCATGAGCAAAGCTATGCTCCATCTCTCAGCACCATGAAGCAGTCACCATCACTTCACTGACACATGCTTACTGACTCACCCTGCGCACCTGCTAGGCCGGCAGTAATTGTTCTGATCACAGTGAGGACCAGTAAACGCTTTACTGTCACCAGATTATGATGATTACACATTTTCCTAAGTGATGACACATCCGTGAGGGCTGTCATCATGCCTCGAGTGAGATGCCATGCATCTGGCTACACGACCGCCGTGTGGATGCTGGTGACATGAACAGCAATGACCTGGTGCTCCTGTAAGCACACACAGGTCAGGGGGCTATGTACTTAGTGCTTCAAAGACCACAATAAAGATCAGAGACTCTACCTTCTTGGGGTATCATTAGCAGAAAGCATATATTATCTGACACAGTATCTGACACAGCTCTGAGTATGATCAAAGTCAGGGATCAACCACTAACTAGCTGTTAATTCATTGCAGGAGAATAAAAAATGCCCAAGATGACACACAGGGAAATATATCACAGAAACAGAAGGAGTACAAGGTTCCAAAATGAAGATGACAGACAGAAATTATATGCAGTTATCCACCAACACCACAAAATTATAGAAAGATCGAAATAGCTCAAGATGAAATGAAACAATTTTTCATCCTATTTAGGAAAACTACCAAGAATCTTGAGCAACCAAAATTTTATATGTAATTTATGGCAACATAATGAGATTTCCTTATTAAATATTTTTAAATGGTCCTATAGAACCTTTTTCTTCCCAGAAAAAAAAAATTACACTTCATAGTAATGAAAAGTTTCCCTCAAGACCAAGGGTGAACATTTGTGACATGTCTGGCTGAAGCTGAACGCTACAATTTGGGCCGACACACGAGGTCAGAACTAAGTGGGCTTGAAGCAAGTGACCTCCTGGCCTCCAGATCATTAGTTACCACCTGGCCAGCCGACAGTGGCCACAGAAAACACACGTTGGCACTACACATTCACTCTGAATCAGTTCTGCACTTGGATGGGCCCTGCTGAAGAACCAACTTGAGCTGTTAACTTTATGAGGTTCTGTGAGCCAATGAATTCATTCAATTCACATTTCTCTATTAAGTGCAAGACCTTGAAGTCAGTGACGGGATGGCTTAAAATCAAACACTGAGAATCAGACACAGAGAAGAAAAAGGCAAATACTGATGAAAGCACATCATTTTTACAGCCACAATTAAACTTTGATGCTAACTATCCCTCAGGTATACCAAAAGTGCTTTGGATGAGCTAAGTGCCTCTTTTTTACAGATAAAACAGTAAAGCACAAAATCACACACTCAAATGAGCAGAGTCGAATGTGGCTAAGTGCAAGACGAGCAGTGACTGTGACAGAGCACAGCTCACTCCACCCCTGCACCCATTCCTTTCGTCTCCCACTTTCCTCGGCCTGTAGTCTATACAGGACAGAAACAGAACCCTGTCCTCAGATGCTCCTGGGGGTGACCTGCACCAGGTGCCACAAGGAAGAAGCAAGTGACGACCTGGTGTCACCTCACACAATATCCAGGAAACCATTCAGTTTTCCTGACAGGCCTCAAGTCCAAACGGCAGTCATTTCCTTTTACTTGTTAAAAATGTCAGTGCAAGTTTGGGTTTATAAAGGAGATTTCAAATTAGGAATCCAGGAGGGCCTTGTACCACAAAATGAACAATGAACTAGCTATGTATATCACAAATACATACTATGTGTGTGTGTGTGTGTGTATTCACCGTGTGTCTAGAATATGTGAAGTGTTATTGACTCACCAGAGTAAAAGAAATTTATTGACTTTTTCAATTCAATGTGTATAGCCTAATAAAGGCAAACGAAACAAAATGCCAAGTTCCCAATCAGGGACAGTCCGCCTCAGTACAGGAAATACCAAAGAGACATCCTAAGCACAGCTAGAAGGAAGAGGTGAGATGCTGTGCTGGCTTGGATAGGGGAAGGGTAAATAGAGAAATAGTGTGGGGTCTACCTCACAAAGCAGGGAACTGTGCATCAGTCCATGATAGGCACACCTGTCTGGATGTCGGAGGCTGGGGGAGGAGACGAAGCAGAGAATGCTTTTGTGGCAGAGCAAAAAGAGGGCAGTCCAAGGGGCCGATCTGGGGGGACATACACAAAGGTGACATGAAAGCACCAAGGGGGGAATGGAAAGAATGCTAACAGATACAGCTGGATGCTACAAGTAACAGAGGTGGTTTTCAGGCAGTGGTGATGTGGACAGATTCGGTGACCCAAACATGTAGTTCCTCACATCTTCACAACAGTTCAATCATCGAGATTATCTCCCACTGTCATGGGAAGAAGGCTGAGGAGTTCAGAATATTTGAGTATACTGAGTGCAATCATAAAAATAATACAGAGTAAACCCAACATTCTAAATTTCCTCTTAAGAATATTAATAGATAACAAATTCCATGTGTCGCACATTCTTCTGATGTTAGACCTGTGACAGCAGCGGGGCTAGGCGGGTAGGGGAGTAGAAGAAAATCCTTGTCCTCCTAGTTTGGGATGATGGAAATCCAGAAATCGTTGGAGGAAAGAAGAGACACCTTAAGAATAAAAGCAAGCAGAGGTTATCAGCCTGGGATACACCAGCACTGAAGTAAGGGGAAGAGGCTACAAGGGGCAGACCATGTTGAGTTAATCCAGAAAACCAACAGGCTGCAAACAAAAACCCAAATGAAAAATAATCCTGATGACTGCAAAAGATCCCTCCTCCCCTTACTTCTTGACAAGATCTTGAATCTTAATTCAAACTGCCTGAAAATCCCAGTGAGCTTCAAAACTTACATTACGATTGATGCAAAGCAAATCGCTGAGTGGGACAAATACTAAAGCAGAAACAAAACTTACTCAGAATCAGGCAATTATATGTAGGTAGATTTATTTAATCTACATGAAAAAATTACCAAATTTCTAATTACTAATTTTATATGAGTTGATAAACACAAATACTCTTAAAATCACTTTCCATGAAAAGCATATGTTTACTAAGTAGCACTAAAATACAGACATCACTAAGATGTTTTTTTTCTGGACTGTGGGAAAGCTATCAAAAGGGCCTAACAATTTTAATGATTTAATCTTTTGTATAATTGACTGAGAGGGAAATGAGCACATACTCTTGAGCACACCCAAGGCATTGAAGCATGAGCCTAATTTGAGTTGACTGTTCAGGTTAAAAGCAAGGAATCAAGCTGGGAAATCCAGGAAGTGTCATAAGTCACATGAGCATCTGGAGTTCAAGACTTACATTGCTCCATTGGTGTAGACGGTGTCACTTCCTTCCACATACTGCACCTGAGCTGGGTAAACGTGCTGCACCTGTTGCACAGTCTGGACCTGCTGTACCTGGAAAACAGATGTCAGGACTTCAATGGAAAGCAAGTGCTATAGGAGGAATCCACGGCGTGAGAGTACCTCAAAGGTTTTCCAGGCACTGTAGCACAGATGGCTGAGCCATCCCTTGGAACACATCATTTCACCGGTAAGGACTTGTAACTTGTGTCTCCAGCACTCACTACTGTTTTCAATATGAACTTAATGCTAATATCCCAAATAAATCATTAAATGTTTTTTAATACCAAAGATGTAGTCATTGTTCAAATTTCTTTGATTACGAATTTGTAGTGGGGATTGTTCAAACTCGGATCCACAAAAGGTCTACACAGTGTATTTGGCTGGTATTTGTTTTTCCTCTTTTAATCTCTAACATTCCTTCTTACTCTTTTTATTTTCTGCCTATTAATGAAGAAACTGGATCATTTATCTCTCAGAATTTCTGTCACTCTAGCCTTAGCAAAGATCACGCCTGAGGTGTGACCTAATATTTTTCTCTGACTTCTTCATGTCATAGGAACTACAAATTAAATCTAGGTCCCTGAATAAGTTCAGTTTTTGAAAAGTTGCATATTTCCTACTATATCACACTAGTTGGCATTGAGCAGCTCACTGACTCTTCTGAAATATTAAGTCTGACCATCGGGTTCAGGTGTTGTCAACCGAAAACTTCTAGTTGAAGGTTCCCCTATCCATCTTGTACCTGAGGATATTAGTAGCCACTAATTATCATCTTCTAAAGATGTCATCCTTAACAAAAAATGAATAAAGCTGTGTAAATTTAGAGTAGTTTGTTACTTTATCCATTGGTAAAAAAAAAAAAATTCTCTCGCTTTCTTATTTTGAAATGTTCTTAAATGAAAATATTTGGTAATATTTTATTAATCAAATACTGAAAAAAATAACTTTACTTCCTATCTTCCAATGGTAGCTAATGTGCTTTTTCAATTTTTTCGTTATTATTCTCAGCCTATTTGATGTTTTCAATTCTAGCAGTCTTACTTGTTCAGCTAAAATTGTCTCATATTTAACCAGTGATTGGTTGTTCAAATGAGTGTCTGTGACATGACCACAGCACCTTTCTTAACATCACTTGCTTCTAAGATGTTCCACGTTTATAGCTTATATTTTCTGTCCCAGATCTGGAGGTAGTCAGCATGTTTCAAATACCCCTGGCTCTTACAAAGGAAATGAATTTAAAAACTACAAGTTTGGGCCATAACTGTGACCACTAACACTAGGCAGTTCATAATTCTAGGTTGTTAGCTAAAAAATTCAAATAATTTTAAAGGAATAAAATACACATCATAGGTCCATACTAACTTTACAATTTATACATGTATTGAATATATCGGGCACAATATTTGACTGTCTTCACTCTGAACCATAAAAAAACAAATGGTTCTTGCAGATTTAACAACATTTATTTGCCTTATTACAAAATGTGTGATAGTCTTCAAAATACCAATGTTCCCACAATATGATTATCACAAACTGTTTGTTTCCTTCCAAATTTTGTCCCTATAACATATAATGTAACATCCAGAAATGTATAATAGCTTGTGATGCTTTGCAGTCATTAGAGAAAAGTAACAACTTTGATACACCCTTAAACTCACATATTTAATTGAGTTTTAGAATTTGCTATATGCAGATACGTAGATATATGCTATGTGCAGATACATGCAGATATATTATAGCAATGAATGAATGCTTCAGTCTTGGCCTGAGCTGAGCTAAGCGCCAGGCAGAGGGGAAACAGAAACTGCATTTAAACAGAGCAGTGGAATATTTTCCAAATCTGATTAAAACTACAACACAGAGAATGAATACTTCAATGTAAACCAAAGAGTAGATGCAAAAACTACACTAAAATAATTTATGATAAAGTGCCAAAAATAGTAAGGAGAAAAATGATAAAGCAATTAGAAAATGAAAACAAGATAACCAATGCTAGCGTGATTGGAAAGTTTCCAGTAAAAAACGAATGGCCAAGAAGTTGAAATGCATCTTTAAGCTTGTGAGAAGGCGAGATGGTAAGCTAAGATTTCCATAATCAGTGAAACATCCTTGAAAAAGACAAGAGAAATGCATTTGTCCAAAAAGCTGACAATACTTTTCACACAGATATACTTAGAAAGAAATACAAAGGTTCTTCAAGGTGAATAAATATAATATCAAATGGAAACTGAGATATATACAAAAAAATGAAGAACACTAGAAATCAGAAATTTGTAGGTAAATTCTAGAAAAATTTTTGATTGCTTTGTTACCTTTGATTTTCTGAAGAGAATAATTTAAAATAGTAAATAATATCAAGCCTATATATAAGCTAATTGTATGTACAACAAAACAACACAGAAGATAATAAAGCCAATGATGGTAATACTTGGAAATTCTCAATAAATCCAATGAGAGGCATAAAAACTGGAAAAGAAAGAACAGATAAGGCTGCTTCAAACAATGACAGAATTAAATGCAATCATTTTAATAATTACACTTAACAGACAAGATTTCATTCATGATGGCTAGAATGGGAAAAATGTAATATTCAACTATATAATAGCCACCAGTCAAGGCTTCAAACTTACACAGACAAACTAAAAAACAAGGAGACTGTGGAGCAATCAGGGAAGCGGCTGCCTTCCGTTGTCAGCATTCTGTATAACATGGCCACCGATTTGAGTTCCACACATCCGGCTCCCTGCTAATTCATCTGGGACAGCAGCAGAGGCTGGACCAAGAGTTTGTGACCTTCCCACTCACATGGGTCAGCAGGATGGAGCTCTAGGCTCCCAGTGTGTGTCTGGCCCAGACAAGCTATTTTACAATCATTTGTGGAGTGAGCCTGCAGGTGGAAGATCTCAATCTGAGGGTGTGTGCATGTGTGTGTGTGTGTGTGTGAGAGCATGTGCATGCCTCCTCTCTCTCTGTACCTCTGCCTTTCAAAAAAAAAAAAAAAACAAAATCTTAAAGTAATGAAAGTATATAAAAAGACAAATCTTGCAAACACTATACCACAAGAAATGCATAGTGGCTTGCTTGTATTACTACCAAAGTAGACTTCAGATCCAAGAAACTTTCAGAGATAAAAAGGGTTACTTCATCAAGAAAGTTATCAAGAATAAACAATATAAGCAAACCACATATCTGGTTCAACTAAGGATGAAGTTACAAAACACGTGTAGCAAAACTTGACAGAAGAGGGCCTGAGCTGTGGTATAAATGCTTAAGTTGCTACCTCTCACTCCAGCATCCCAGAGCAATAACCACATTAAGAATCATTTAAGAGGGTCAGTACATTCTCTTGCAGCAGGCAAGGCCATCATCTGGGCTAATCAACTATATCCACTGTTGCACGCATGAGGCATAGTAAGTGCAGGCTGGTTATGCTTTGCTGCAGCATCAGCTGGCAAGTGCTGGGAGTGGGAAAAATGCTGCAAAGCCAGACTGCCGAACCACCTGGAAAGTACAGATGCTGACACTAGGAGTGGGCCTATTAGGGAAATTGTAGGCCTCCCTGATGGGCCATAGCTCCCACCAGTGAGCATGAGAACCAGGGTTTGTGGGTGAAATGGCTGGACAGGCAATAGCAGCCACTGGTATGAGTGTGGGTTGGGATAGGTTGGGTTAACCTAGGCCACAGCACCCCTTGGTATGTACAAAAGCCAAATGGGATGCAGGACAGACCAGACCATTCTGCTGCATATACCAGCATGCACAGGAACCAGGGCTGGGGCCAGGAGTGGTGGGAGCTATTGGGGTCGCCACACCTGGGCTGCAGTGCCACTGGTGTCCATGAGGGCCAAGTGTGTCCTTGTGGGTAGGGTTGGGCTGTGTCACAGCATCCACTGGTTTGAGTGTAAGATGGGGCTGGAGACAGAACTGATCCAACTTGAACCACCACTGTGGCTATAGACTGATGTGGGTGACTAGGCTGAACCCATACTAGCAAGCACACACAGGAGTCAGGTCTAAGGTCACCTCAGACAAGGTTTCTTTGGGGACCCTGCCTAGAACTAAACTGTTGGACTCATAACTCCAACCACGGGGGGGGGGATCATAGGATCTGTACTATGACCAAGGAATACATGGGTAAGAACTAGACTTGCTAAGTTGCTAAGATGGTGCAGTGGATGGCATGTCCAGAGGCACATGGGGCATTGGGGGATACAGCAGTGCATTGGAACCTGCAGAGGACACCTAGTACCACAGCAGAGGATGGAGAATAGAACAAATTGGACAACTCTCTTATCCAAGTATCTGGGAAAATGAAGACTCTAAAGTGGACTATTGTCAGTCAATGGAGCTTGCAGGGATTTCCTCATCCTTGGAGCAATGAAATCAACAGCATTTCAGAATTATTGAAATCACCTGAGCAGTTACCTCGTAACATGCTCCACATTGGGAACCCTGGGATGACATCAGGTAGCTGTTCCCCATCCCTGGGTTCTCATGTGGTTAGGATGCTGGGTGTGGCTTCTCACTTTCTCTCACCCCTTCCCCCAGATATAGGAAGAAGAAAAAATTGGACACAAGATTTTCACCCACTTTCCCCTATTCCTCTACTCTTCCTGCCCTAGTCAATGTTCCACATGGGCATGCATCCCTTTCAACTATGCAAACATCATCAAAAATAAAATTTTATAAAAAGAAAAAAATGATAGAGTACAGAATAAAAGATGAAAACTCATGATTATAATCTTTTCCTCTCAGCAACTGATAGAGAACAAACACAGAAAATGAATAAAGATGTAGAAATCAACCAATTTGACAAAAATCATCATCCATGCAATAACAGACGTGCTTTCCAATGCAAATGCACATGAATGTAGAAACTTCAAAGACTAAGAATAAAACAGGCAATGCATTTAACATGATTAAATAACACAGACCATGTCCTTTGACCAAAAGAAAATGAAGTCACAGATAAAAACAAATCTAGAAAACCCCCAAAATATGTATAAAATGAACACATTTTAATACAATCACGGTACAAAAACAACCGCAAG